GACTGTATTTGTATTGACATCTCATCATCAGCATCATTAAATTAAATGTCAGCGGTAGTTAACCGATGCCGCATTACGACAAAACCATTGGCCAACCATTTTAGCGGTGTGTTGTGGGCAATGAAATAAATAAAAGAAGCATCACGACTAATGCAATCGTTGGGTGCAGGTGGTTGAAGGGCGCCACTGCTTCATCCTATACTTCTTTATTTTTCTTCTGTAATTGTTTCTATCTGTTTTACTTTTTCCTAACTGCAAGTGAACATTATTGTATTGATGTGTTTCTTTATACCCAAACAAACAAACAGACAAACAAACAAATAGTTGTGTTGAGTCGGTGCAGTAAACTTCTCTTACTTTCATAGTCCACAATGACAAAACCACCACGTGGGTGGTTGGCGGATGCTCTGCTTTGGTTTGTTCCTTCTTTCCTATCAAACATCTATTATCCTTATCTCTCCTCCCTATTTTTGGGGGGATAGTTTCTCTCTTATAACATCTCTAATCTTCATCCCTTGTATGACCTTATTGAGTAGCAAATGCCGTAAAACTCTTACTAAAACTAAACTACAAAACCACCGCGAAGGGGTTAATTCTCACAGCCATCACCTGCAGGCGGAGTAGCTCTGGTCTCTCCGGGGAGTCTCTCCCCTTGGTGTGTTCCTTCTTCACTCCCAGGTCCAATTAACACGCGCACATGCGCGCTCTCGCATTTCGATGCGCTCAGACGAGCAGTGGGACTGCTGATGGACTGCGAACATGTCCCCACGTCTCCAGGGCAGTGCTGTACGATTTCGAGGAAATGACATTTTATCGACATTACTCGTGTTATTCCAATATTCGAATTCCATGTGCGAATGGTGCTTTGGTTTCTCCCCCTAACCACCCCCACCTCTTTTTTTCCTTTTTATTTATTGGCTCCAATATCACTCTGACTCAAAATAATGAAGCTACAAGATATGCTTTCAGACAGGCAGAGAAAAACGAGTCGAAAATGAACTGTACGTAAAAATCACACGGTATTGCAATGGCTTTGCAACACTTTGAACTGCTGTTTGTTCGTTTGTTTGTTTGTTTGCCTGTTCGTTTGTTTGAGTAAAGAAAAACACACCGATGTAATCATGATCATTCAGTGTTTGAGAAAAGTATGACAAACGGACAGACAGAAAGAACAGAGAGAAAGTAAAGAAGAAGGACCTACCAGAGGCGGGCTCCTACCACCTCCAGTAAAGGGCTGCGAATTGCGAAAAGACCAAAATATCTTGAACGTTGAATAGCAAAGTCGAATAGGCACAGCTCTATTCGAGGTTTGAACCGGAGATTACGCACATTCGAGGAGGCGCGCAAAATGGTGATAATAGTCGTAATGGCCGGTACCATGATGGTGAACATGACTTACGTCATCAGTACTTCAGTTGACAAACTGCACGTGCTAAAAGCTTGCATTGACACAATTTAGATTATATGGGTGGTTTAGTTTAGTTTGAGTAAAGAGAAGCACATCGAATAAGATAACGGCCATTTGTTTGCTAGTTTGTTTAATTGTTTGTTGTTGTTGTTGTTGTTGTTGTTGTTGGAGGGGTCTGAAGTGTGGATTTTCACGGAATTTTTTGCAAACTTGAATGCTACCTCAGGAAAAAAAAAATCATTAAAAAAATCCTAATTCATTTCGGAAAAAAACAACAGACACATTGTTAGATCTAATGTTGGTTATCACGCGTGCAAAAAACCCCCAATGAATTTCCATGAGCAATAAGTGCGGTATTCATTACGTAAGACACATCAACAAAATCCAATATAGCCGCCGTATCCACGGAAAAGTAACTTTTTTCTTAAATTTGATTGCGGATTTTAAGACTCCTTACTATGCTTGTTATGTGTGTGAAATTTGGTCCGGTAATAAGCGAGATAGCCTTCAGGTGTAGCCCCCCCCCCCCCTTTAAGTGAGTACCTGTTGTGGTTTTATTATTGAAGGGAAAATATCTATATGTCCTTAAACACAAATATGACTTCTGAATAGCTCAAATAGTGTGATTTAGCGACTCGACAAAGTATTGTGCCATACGAGTCATTTATAAAATACGTTCATAACGTGTCCAGGGGTTCGAGGCTCAGCTAAGGCCCCATGCTGCGTCCTTGGAAAGGCATCTTACACGAATTTTCTCTTTTGGCTCGGTCCTATTGGTGGACGCACATTAAATTCGGACATCCCACCTCTCAAATAACCTTACAGTGCTGAAAGGGGCGTTAAACCTTTACAATTTTACCTTTAATTTCGATCAATTTTAGACATGTCAGCAAATGCACAAAGTGTGAACATCAAAGTATAAATATCAGAGGTTAGAAAACCAACATTATAAATCAGACAAAATAGGAATTGATCTACACGTGACTATTGAAAAAGGAACTACAGATGACGCAGACACATTTTAATGTTTGGGCTATGGGTCACAAATGATGGAGATGTCAGAAACAAAAGTCTTGCAAAATGATGTAAAGGTTAACACAACTAACTGAAAAAATGTTTTCAGGCTACAAAGAAACTTAACTCCGATTCCCACGATTACTAATATTCCCCTTACCACCTACGGATGAGAATCATGAACATAAAGTTAGAGTGCCGTTAAGATTATGATGTTATTTTAGCTTCATTGCTACTGAAAATTACCAAAGGTACCACGGAATCGAATAGGAACACAATTCTCAGTTTTGAAAGAACGAGGAGAACGGTAAATTTGTTCCTTGATCATAATGAATCGGATAACATAAAAATGACAATATTCTGGTTTTGGTCACAGAAAAAAGCCTCAAAGGTTTCGAAAAGGGCAATTTTGACGGATGCTTACCTTGAAAACCAAGAAGGAAACAGGGGATACCCCATAAGAAAATGAAGTCAAAATATCTCTGAAAATCTGGAGACAACTGTGACCAAGGTCTGACGTATAGAACTGGAAAAGCGTGGATTGTCAAGAATGCTATTCTCCTAAACGGACCAGCTGTTTAGAAGAATATTATAGCATCCATACCCACTGCAATGGACTTTGTAGAGCTGTAATAGTTTTGCTATTTGGAATATGCAAATTCAAGTCGGTGAGGGATAAATCAAACATGAATTATAACCAGTCACCAGGGAACATACCACGCGGTGTTTAAGTCGTTTAACGTCCATTGACCACTATTGGCAACAAAACACAAAGATCATATTATTATATATTTACGCCACGCAATCATTCGTTTCTATACACTGGAATTCCATTGCCCTCAAAGTCATCAAACTTTACAAGGCATCACTTTATCAGAGTTTCAACGCATCTGGGTTTGCTGGTTTTTATTTTTGAGTAAAGAGAATCTCATCGACATCGAATAACGGTCATTTAATTCTGGGAAGAAGTAAGACAGACAGAAAAAACCCAGGGAAAGTCAAGAAAGAGGTTCTACAGGTAGCGTTGTGCTAAGAAGCGAAGTAGAGCGTGCTAGTGACGCCCTCAAACAATCACACACACCCTCAGGGAAGAATTATTTTTGGAATTTCCACATCATCGAGTGTGTCACAGATTCAGGGCTATCTTCGTGAGTCAGAGGCATGGGCCATAGAGATATGATTAATTTGTTTGCAGTTTAGCTCATCAAGAATAATTGGACTAGCATTCTTTATACAAAACTTGTTTATCTTTGTTTGTTTCTGTTTTGAAAAGGTGGGGGAGGGGGATAGCATGCATGAATTTGCGTTTTGAGTAGATCCACTTCAAAAGACACAAGAAATAACCAGGCGTTCACTGTGACTTCGACGTCAATACTTGATCAATTTGCTTATTAACGATATTAATGAACAAAAATACCCCCATAGTCATTGTTTTGTTTTAGTGAATAATAACGTGCCAACGCAGTAAAGGTCAGATTGTGTCGAAAAATTGTAAGACAGAGACAGAAATAACGAGAGGGGAAAATACGTAGGATCAACTAGCATTGCTGTCCTATCAAACATACAACGACAGCTCAGTTTTCGAAGCATTATTGTGAAGACAAAAGAACCACGAGAGTTTTAAGAAATGAAAACAGAAAGGTACCAGAACATCTTTCTAAAAATATTCAGACAAGTCAAGAGCAGACAAAGGCATTTCTTTCAAACCAAGGTTAACAATGAATGGGCTTACAACTGACAAAATATAATGTATTCCCTTTACAACCCGGTAATGGAATAGTTGAGGGCAGTCATAGAACTTGGCTTTTTTAAACGTAGGACTTGAGGGGTAGGGACGCGTTCTATGGACTCATTGCCCAGCAATCGAGATTTTTTCCCCAATTCAGAGGAACTGAGCATAATTACAGACATCAGTGTTTACTTCTTTTAGTAATACTATTTCTCTAACATTTCTATGTAGCAAAGTGCCAAGACTTGTCTATCTAAGTTTCTTTCATAGGCCCTGTGGTACGTTTGTGGTGTGTGTGTATGTATGTGTGTGTGAGTGTGTGTGTGTGTGTGTGTGTGTGTGTGTGTGTGTCTCTGTATGTGTGTGTCTGTGTGTGTGTGTCTGTGTGTGTGTGTCTGTGTGTGTCTGTGTGTGTGTGTTTGTGTGTGTGTGCGCGCGCGCGCGCGCGTG